CTGATTAACGTCAAAATCGTGTTCTTTACATTTTGTTTGAAGGACTTCCCAGAGTGCTTTATGTTCTTGTTTGAGATTCTCAAGGAGGTTTTTTCGTTCATCAAAATCCTCTGCAAGTTTAGTGTGGTCTTCCCTTTCTTTCTGAAAATTTTTAATATCTTCTTTCCTGACCAGAAGCTCCCTCTCCAAGGCTTCTTTTTCTTTTTTTAATTGATTGATAACATTAATGTCATTGCTCTGGTCCAGACACGTCCTCCTGTCCTCAGGACTTACACCAGACTCTTCTGAACTGCAATTTTTCAACAGTTCTGCCTTGTTATTAACTTCAGACTTGACCTTTTCAAGAGCTAACAGCAGCTGAGAACGTTCCTCTTCGTATGCACTTGCTTTTTCATGCAGCATAGATTGCATACGAGCAAGCATGCTGTCCTTTTCCTCCAAAGATTTTAGGTTCTGCTCACATAGATTTTGTTTTTCAGCAACGACTTCATTCAGTTCTGCAATATTGTTCTGAAGTTCCTCTAAGTAAGAAGCTTTTGCAGATAAAATTTCAGTCAAATCACTTATTTTGGCATCTTTTTCTAAAAGTTGTTTCTTCAGAGTTCCAAGATGAGACTCAAAATCTTTATTTTGTACTTCAACTACTTTCAGCTTTTCTGTTAACTCATTAACTTCCTTCAACAACTCCTCTGCTTTTTTTTTCTCTTTATCTATTTCTTCCTGTCCACTCTTTTCTAGTTTTCCAACTTTTTGCAATAGATCTCTCCTTACTATCAACGCTGCTTGAAGTTTCTTTTTCAGATTGTCTTTTTCCTTGCCCATTTTCTCAAGATTAAACTGCATCTCCTCTTTTTCATTCATTAGATCTTTCACCACAGCTTCTCTACTGCTTAAGGTAACCTGACTGTCTTCCAGTTCTTTCTTACAATCCTCAAGTTCCTGCAATACTCGGTTTAGCTCTCCTAAAGAGCTATTATGAACAGCTTCAAGGTCTTGCAGTTTGTTATTTAATGTATTTCTCTCTTCAGAAAAATTCAGCATTTCATTAGACAATGATTCCATGATCTGGGTAACAGAACAGTCCTTTTCTTTCAGTTGCTGGCTTAGACCAGATATTAAATTTTTCTGCTGATTTACCTGGGAAGTTAAGTTTTCAATGAGCTGATCTTTATTCCCCATTTCTTCAAGGAGACCTGCTACTTTTTTACCTTCAAGTTGGAGTTTTTCTTGACTGGTTCTTACTATTTCTTCTGACTTATTTATCTTGTCTTGAAGAAATTCAACCTGCTTATTTATTTCTGCAAAGGATTCTTCCCTTTCTTGCAAAAGTGACTGTTGTTTATATAATGTTTCCTTGACTGTGACCATTTCTTCTGACAGACATTCAATTTCAGATCTGTATTTGCTCTTCATCTTTTCAATATCACTATGCAGCAGTTCCTTCTGCTTCTCAAGTGACTGCATGGTTTTTAATTCATCTTTCATGATGTCTATTTCTTTCTGTTTTTCTAAAAGCACCAGCTGCAACTGTTCTCTTTCTGTTTCTTTGCTCAAAAGAGTGGTTATCAGAGAGGACAACTTTTCCAACTGAGTTTTACTATCAGTTAGACGCAGTTCAGAATCTGAAGTCTGTGCCTCCTCTTCTTTACATAAAAGCCCACTACTAAGTAACAGAGATAAGCTTTGAGTTAATTCCTCTTTTATAAGATCCAGCTCTTGCTGCAAAGACTGGATTTTGCTATCCTTTGATTTCATTTCATTTCCTAAACCGCTCAATTGCTCTGTAAGATTATTACTTTGTAAAGTTGCCCTATCAAGTTCCGTCACCCATTTGTTTTCTGACTCAAGTAGATTTTGTTCTAGAGTTTCAAATTTAAGTTTTAACTTAGAAAGCTCTTCACCCTTTGCACTAACCTGCATCTGTAACTTCTCATTTTCTGTCTTCATCTGCAGTTTGACAGCCTCTATCTGCACCCGTGAATAATTCTCACTGGTTTCCAGTTTTGCATTGATTTCTCGGAGCTCTTCCAATTCCTTCTGCAAATCATTTTGAGATGCAGTAAGTTGTGTGTTTTCAGCCATCAGTTTATCGGCATCTTCTTGTAACAGACTTTTTTCTTTCTCTAAAGACTCCACCTGACACTGCAGACTACCTATTAAAAGTGCATTGTCATGGCAGTCTTGAGATGATTTGGAATTGACATTGTCCAGCTCTGCCTTCAAACATGCTATGTTACCTGCCTGTTCAGTGCACTTCACACGCAGAGACTCCACAGCCAGCTCTTTTTGCTGCAGTTCTTCTCCCCATGTACTTATTTGGTCTAGTGCTTTTTGGTGTTCGTTTTTAAGAGAGTCAAGTTCAGCAGTCAAAGAATCAATTTTCTTCTGGTTAATATCAAGCTTCTCATTCTTTTCCTGATATTCCTTACTAAGGTTTTTCATGGCTGTATCACTTTTCTCTAATTTTTCTCTAAGAACCTCAATCTCACTAGAAAGAACATGAACATTGCTATCTGCCAGCTGTATACTGGTATCTTTCTCCTTTAAAGAATTAAGCAGTCCAGCAATAACTTCTTCTTTTTTCCCAAGAGCTGCATTCAGTTCAGTTCTTAGTTCATACTGTGCTTCAACTTTCTCCTGTAGAGATAAAAACGCATTTTCTTTCTCATTGACTAGTTCTTGAGATTTTTGAAGTTCTTGTGCTAGTTCATCCACCTGACTTTGGAGCTCAGAAATCAAACTTGTCTTCTCTTCATCTTTCCTTTCCTTCTCCTTCAGAGTTTTGAGGAGATTTTCATTTTCTGTCAGAGATGATTCCTTTTCTGATAAGGACTGGTCCATCTCACTTATTACATTCTTCTGATGTTGTATTTCTTTTTGTAAATTCACTTTCACTTCCTCCAGCTCTCCCACCTGTTTCTTTAAGACCTCACATTCATTCTCTTTCTCTTGAAGCTGCATCTTTAAATTGTCACTGAATAATGAAATATTGTTGATCATTAATTCTTTCTCTGAAACACGTACTTTTAGTTGTTCTGCTTCAGAGGCTAAAAGCTTTAACTGGTTCTCCTGCAAAACAGAAGATTCCTGTACCTCAGAAAGCTGTGCTTTTAAACTGATGTATTCATCTAACTTTTGCTTTAAAGATTCATCCTTCTGTATAATTGAAGCATTCAACTGGGATGATTTTTCAGTCATATTTCTAAGCTGACACTGAAGGTCAGAAATAACCTCCATATTCTCAGACAGTTGAACCCTAAGTACATCAGACTCTTCAGATTTATCTTTCAATAGCTTTAATTCTTGGGCTTGCTTCTTACACTCATTTTCTCTTTCCTGCATTGCGTGTCTAAGCTGGCTGCTTTCAAAACCTACAGCTTGTATTTGGTTTTGCAGATCTGAAATGATTTGCATGTATTGTCCTTCTCCTGCCACTTTACTATCTGTCATTTGCTGAATCAAAGCCTCTTTTTCAGAAAGGAGATGTTCTTTTTCTTCAAAGGCAATTTTTAGGTTTTCTTTTTCAAGCAAAAGACCATCAATCTGGTCCTTCAGAGCTAAAATACTATGACTTTGTTGAGACAAGTGCGAAGTTAGAGCAGCTACTTCATCTGACTTTTTCATTACTGTACCATTAACTATTTCAACGTCTACTTTCAATTTTTCATTTTCTAGAGCTGCTGTATGTGCTTGCTGTCTCACTGAAGCAATTTCAGACTGCTGCTGTACCAACTGTGACTGAAGAACTTCACATTCACGTGACTTTTCACTCAGTAAGCTTGAAAAGTTCTCCTTTTCATGCCTAAGCACATCTACTTCTTTGCTCAGTAGCTGTAGCTGATTGTTTAACATTGTACTTTCTTCTACTTTTTCAGAAACTTGCCTATGAAACTTCTCAAGTTCTGAACCCTGACTTTTTACAGTCAGGTCTCTTTCCTCTACCAACTGAGATAATTTCTTTTTCTCATCTTTAAGATTTTTAATTTCATTCTGCAACCCTACAATACAAAACTTACTCTCTTCCATTTCCTTACATAATGAATCATTCTGATGGATTTTCTCTTCTAGAGACCTGTTCACAGTTTCAAAATCCAAAGTTATGCTTTGAACTTGTTCCTGCAGCAGTAAATTCTTTTCCTTACTTTGGCTGAGCTCTTGCATTAGGCTACTGCATTCAGATAACTTTTTATTTAACATTTCTTCTGTATTTATTTCTTTGTCTCTAGTCTCCTTCAGCTGATTGACAAGTGACTGGATTTGTTCATGCAACTGTTGTGCCTGTTCCTTGCTTTCTGACAACTGATCAGCTAGCACAGTACACTCCTTTGTCTTCTCCTGCAGCTGTTCTGCAACTGAATTTTCTTTTTGCTTGGTAAGTAGTGAAAGTTGTTCAATCTCTTTTGCCAGATTGTTTTTATCACAATTCAGTACTGAAAGAGTTTTTTCATACTCAGCAGTGCTAAGGGATAACTTATTTTCTATGTCTGCCACAGCCTGGGTTTTCTTTAACAATTCACACTCTTTTACATCCAGGAGTTTGGACAAATTCTCATTTTCTCTGATTAGCTGTTCCTTCTCCTTTTCCATTGTATCTATAGTTTTTTTCAGATATTCATTTGCTTTTATTTCCTCTGCCAATTTTTCTTCTTTCCCTTCAAGATCTGCCCGCAATTGCTTATTAGCTGAATCTTTCTCCTGCATCTCTATTTCCATTTTGTTAATTTGCTTATGTATTTCATTTAATTGGTTATTAAGTTCTTTGCAAGATGTCTCTTTGGCTTTCAATTTAAGTTTGGTCTCTTCAATCTGCTGCTCCAAAACCCCAAGTTTCTGCTCCAATGAAATAACAAGCTCTTGTTTCTCTTGTAACTCGTTTTTAATTGTTTCCTGATGTTCAGTATGTTCAATAAGCGTCCTAGATAATTCAGCCAACTCTTCATCTTTTTTAGCATTTTCCAAAACCAGTTTGTTGAATGAATCTTTAATTGATTTTAACTCATTTTCAAGTGTCTCTGCTTTACTCTCTTTCTCTTTAAGCAAATTGTTCCATTTTTCCTTCAGAGTATTGTTTTCCTCAAGCTGAGATTTGAGATATTCAGTTTCTTTTCTCTGTTTATCCTCAGTTTCTTGTAGCTTTTCAGACGATTTACTAATTTGCTCTTTCAGTAAAGTAATCTGTGACTCACACTCTGCCAGTTTGTTATGGTATGCGACATTGTTGGCCTTGATTTCAGAACGGAGAGCCTTAATTGTAATGCTGTTCTCACTGCTTTGTCTTATTAATTCCTCATTTTCTTTGGTTTTAGCTTCATTCTCAAGCCTAACTTTTTCTAGCTCCAGTCTCATTGTATTACTCTGCTCAGACAGGACAGATATCTTCATGCTTGCATCTCTTATATCAGCTGTTTGTACTTCTTTCAGCAAATGAGTTTCCCTTTCAGCCTTTGATAAAGCCTCTTCCATGCCTCGTATTTCTTCCTCTTTGCATTGCACCTGATGCTTCAGGATGATAACCTGTTCAGAATATTCTGTCATATTCAAGGACAGGACAGACATCTCCCTGTCTTTTTCTGCCAGTGCTTCTTTAAGATTATCAATTTCTCTTTCACGTTTCTGGAGATCTTGGATAAGTTGAGATCTTTCCTCTAAATGGCTTGTGTTCAGCTTGTCAAGCTCTTCGTTTGTCTGGTCCAGATCCAGCTGCATCGACTCTACCACACCATCTTGTTTCAAAGTCTAAACATCAAGAAAATAATGTTACAAGAAAACTTCAAACATATGTTAGAGGGCAAATGAAAGTTAGGTTTCACATGTAGAACGAGCATCAAACATAATCAGTCTGTACTAAACTGTAAGTTGAAAGATAACCATGTTACTCTTTAGATTGTTTCAGCACAGGCAAAGTTTAGTGTATGAAGTTTTAAACAGCTGATGCTGTTACTTTGCTGACATTTCATTAGGCCATCTCAAAAGAACAAAGTTTCTTATCTTACTTTATTTGAGTTACCTTTTCCTTCAACGTTGCAACTTTTTCTGTTAGATCACTGATGACTGTTTTCTGCTCAGTGTTCTCCACTTCATAGACACTGCATTTCTTTAAGGCTTCATTCAGCTTAGTATTAAAAATAAAAGTCAATATGACAGGAAGATACAGAATTGTATTCAAATTGTGATATTAGAGTTATAATATAAAGCTTACACAGAATGAGTTTATACTTTGAAATTAATAAGTGAGGATAACTTATCACCCAATAAAATATAAATACTCTCAGGTAACACTCTGTTGGGTCTAAGAAACACTTATAGTCAACTTAAAGCAAAGTAATTACATCAAGTGAACAAAATTGTAAAGAAACAGAGCAAAAACCTTCAGACAGGTAAAACAGCAATAATGCTGCTGGGACGTAAATAGAAAGTTATGGCTAGTGCTTGCCAGCTATAATACATCAAATACTGTTTAACAATAACTTAATTTTAATAACTACTTACTTTTTGCTCTGTATGCACAAACTTTTCACCAAGCTCTTTGTTTTGAAGATCCTTTTCTTGAAGCAGTTTCCTCAAAGTTCCAATTTGTTCCAGTTTTTCTGTGGTGCTCAACAGCTTTTGTTCTTTTTCTCCAAGTGAATTTTCAAGGAAGCTATTTCTGTCACTTAATCTAAGAAGAAAATACATATTTAGGCGTTTTGACAACAAAGTTTGCTTTAAGCATTCTAGTCTTACTTGCCCCAAACTAATTTCTTAAAAGAATAATTATTTTGACACTTTCCTTTTAAACTTCCAGATAAAGAAAATAACATTATGGCAAACAGAAGCAGGAATCAAGTAACTCTTTTTCAGGTGTTTTAAGAAATTTTTTTAAAGAAATTTTACTTTTTTTTTTAAGTTTTAAACTAAGTTTAATCTTAAAGCAAAGACATCTAATTCTGAACAGAGTGAAGAACTTTTCTGTTACCCTTTAAGCTGCTCATTCAAGCCAGAGATCAGAATTTGATGCTTTTCCACATCGCGCATTTGTTGGTTGCGTAACTGGGTGAGTTGAGTTTGCAAACGTTCATTTTCATTCTGCCACAAAACAATAATGAAGAGCACTATCACATGCAAACATCCAGAACAGGATGAGATAACTGGAGTGATGAAAATCTGACTCTTCAAGAGATTTCCATCCTAGCTGGTAGTGAGAGACTGTTCTTCTAGCACTGTAGCAGATACCAGTGCAAAATACAACACTAATATCACAAGTTCAGACATGGTATTAGTTCAAACAGGTGCAACCCACCTTTCAGAAACACCTCCTTCAGCAGTGCTATGATATAACAGGAACTCAAGGATGATTGCTGCATACCCAGAACACCACACACACTCACACTGTGTTAAGGCAGCTTACTTATCTTAACAGGGAAGCTACTGCTTTGAAAAAATACTTTCCTCATTGATTTGAAGATAGTATCAAACTTGCAAATTTTTTTGCTTATTTTTTTCCAGGTTGAAGGAATGCAAAAACCTGCATGTGGGGGATTGTGTAGAAAAGAAAAAGGAAGCAAGCTTCATTCACACAGCTTTTTTTTTAAAAAAGAACAAAACCAAACACCAACACAGTACAAATCTCCTACTCTAGCCAGATCCACTGCACCAATTCAAAAATAAAACAACCAAAAAAAAAAAAAGTCTGACAACAGCAACCAAAAGCCAAAAGCATATCCAGAATCAACAGCAAATAGGACAAACATGGCAAACTTGTCACCTCTAGTGAAAATAAGCTAGCATTCTGGAGGAGGCAGAACACACCTGTACCGCCCTCAATAGCTGCCCTTCTTCATCTACACCAAACGTTACCTGCATCGAAAGGCTTTGTTACAAGAGTCTCAAGTAATTACTAACATAAGGTTGTTTTTCATCTTAAAATCATTAATTCTTTTTTATATATGTGCAACTAACAGATAAAGAGCTTTGAGTAATGCATCAAACTTGAACGAGTTTGAGTAAGAGTTCAGCTAGGTCACTCAGTGAACATGAGGTTTACAAATGATCAGGCATAATAACTTGTCAGTCAGGCAATAATAAAAACAACTTTTCTGATAAATGTTTACTGTACTGTTCCTTTTGGTGCCTTCATTGAATAATTTTACAATATAAATATGTATCAAATTAATATCTGTTTAGATTGTTTATATATATTATTTTTTCTATAGTTAGTTTCTTTTCTAGAAATAGGTTTGTGTGTGTATACATATATATAATTTACAAAATAATAACACACACAGAGACATTTATGGAAAAGAAACTTAAGGGATGCAAGAAGAGAAAGACTCAGGCCAGCAGGAACAACATCTAATTCTGGGCCTTCTGACAAAGGCCACTACAAAGAATAATTAAAATCATGTTGCTTTTTACTATGTTTCCAAAACAAAGCTATTTCCAAACAAATTTCTCCCCGTGACAAAACAGAAGTGACAGGCTTCAACTTCAGAGCATAATACAGAAGATGTACACTCTCTGCCAACATAATTATCAAGCATAAAGTTGCCTTTGGACAACTTTGCTAGCTGCAAATTGACATTTTTGTCTTACTGTAGGCTATGTTCATAAGAATATCAACAGAGTAAAATGACTCTTCTATCATCAGGTTTTACACCACTATGAAAGCTCACCTGAAGAGCCTCCATTCTCCCTTGAAGCTGCAATCTATCTTCCAAATCCTGACAGCGCTCTTCTAGGAAAAGAATCTGTTCCTGCAGCTGATTTCTTTCCAATTCCAACTCTTCCACCACACTCCGCAAACCTACTGGAGTCAAAGAAGAAAAATTATTTCAAGAAAGGCCTACCAAAATTCCTGCAGTCTAGAAATGTTTCAGGTTTTTGTTCACGTTTCTCATCCATGATGGGCACAATCAGATCTCAACCATTTCCAGTGGAAACGCTTGAGGCCCTGCATTGCCAAAAATTACACAGCAAAAGTACCCTTAACTGCTGGAAAACCAAAATAAAGTTGCATAGCTCAAGAGCTCAGAGAACCTAGCAGAAATATTCTGAGCAATATTATGGTTCAGTCAATAGTGAAGCTCATGGTACTTTAATCACACATCAATCATGTACTTGCAGGATCAGATCTTCAGTAATTATTAATAAACAAACCAAATTGGTCTGTATCAAAATTTGCAAGTGAGTCTATTCCATTTTAACCCTATGATATATTCTCAGCCTTTACCACCAATAAAAAAACCCATCAGCATTAAAAAAATAACTTGATTTTTAAATTAAGAGCAAACAACAATGGAATGCAATTCTGTTTTGGAACATAACTGTTATGGAGGTTGGAAACATAGAAGAACAAGACTCATAACTTAAAAAATACATGATCTTGCCACATAGGATATTTCCTGGGCACCAGGGCTCAACCAGTTCCAGCATCATGTCATATTTATAACCTACTTCTGAACAGAAACTAGGCAGTTCATCCAGCACGCACATGCTTTAAAATGAAAAGGAATAAAAAGCAAGCCAAAAAACAAATTCAACTAAGATTAGACTACACCACAAATGGGTTGTTAGTTGAATTTGAAAACAAAAACGGACACAAAAATGCAGATGCTGTGCATGCTTTAATAAACTGTCTAGTCGCTATCACACCTGCATTAGGTGAAGTGTACTCTGGCCACCAACCTCCCATATTTTCTCCTTCAGCTGAATCAGTGCTATCCAAGGTGACACTCAACTCTTCAAAGCATTGTTTTCCATCAAAGCTGTATTCTTCCTATGCACAAAACATGAGAAGGATGTTTAATTTAAAGAAGAAAGGAAGTACGGGTAAAATACGTATTGTTATTAAAAGTAGAATTTCAATTAAAAGTCCTAAAACTCAGCAAATGATTCAGGTGCCTAAACGTAAGTATATGGGATTGCTGCAGATATTAGGGTAACCTCCCCAGCTTCCAGCTATTATTGCCAGCAGAGCCAAGTTTCCCACAGGTTTTGTGTGGTAGCTGCCAGGCCTTTGAAGACACTCTCAGGCAACAGATAACTACACTTGGATACCTTAAATATTCCTCTGATTTCTACAGTTAGTAGGCTCCTCTGAAACACAAAGTGAACTATCAGATCTAAGTGTTAATGTGACAATAACATCCTAATTCTCCTTACAAAATATTATGATTTTTTGTGCAAGTTACAGCACCTGCATGAACGGACACTACTTACCAAGTCTTCAGGCAAGTTCTGCCAACAGAGATTTGCTAAGATTGTATCCAAACCAAAAATATGCACATAGCTTCAAGCATGTGAATCACTCCAGAGAGAAGCTCATGATTTTTTAGTGTAAAATCAAGTAGACTCATTACTCAAGGAACAGAGGTATGCTGCCACTGGAATTCCTTGTGCTCTGGCTACATACATCATCATTCAATCCACCCAAGTTTTATTTTACAAAGTTAACCTAAGTTCTTAAGCCCTTAATGTTTTTAAGTGTAAAGCAGCATATGAATAATAGTACTTTCCAGATTTTTTTATTAACATGCAGGTAAAAATAAACTCTTCTCTTTTAACCCACCTGAAGCTTCCTGTTGGTCTGATTGCTTTTTCTTCTTGGCTGCTGCAGCCTGCCCATTCCTTGAACTGTGGTCAGTTCCTCCTCCAGCTCCTGCTGCCCTGAGACTATGTCTGGATCAGAGCAGCCAGGAAAGAACCAGTCATCCTCAATCAGTTTTGTGCCACAGGAAAGCAATTACATTTATATCAGACACTACTACATGAAAAGAGACAATGGACAGGCTGGAGTCCTTATGAATGACTGACAGAATAAGATCAAAGAAGCAATCCACTGCGTTCACCTTGTGATCTCCCTTCAACATCACTATGTAGAACAAGAGAATAAAGTCTGCACACCTCTCTAAGAAGCAGCAAACTGAAGTCAAACTTCTTCATTAGCTCTAAATGAAGATTTTATACAGGAGACTGGAAAGGGTGAGGTTAAGCTTATACTAAAAAAAAGCCAACCAATTAAAATGCCAAATTACATCTCATTTCAATTTACCAGGTTAAAATATACCTAGTTGGTAAGACAAAGACATCAGCTCAAACAGCTGCTGGTTTTATAAACTGAACACTCCCATTCTACATGTGTCCCTTTCAACTTTTAGTATGAGCTACAAAGCCAGAAAATTTGAGGAAGTCACAAGCATGTGTTACACTGCAAACTGGCATCAAACCATCTTATCATAAATTAATAGTATCATTCTTTTTAAGACATATACAGAATCACTTGTAAATAAACACACTGAATAAATTCAGGATATGAAAGCTCACGTGTGCATCATGTGCATTGTTAGAAAGGATTTTTCATTTAAAGTACATTCCCATCTGTTTTGTGATACGACAAAACATGTTTGGGGTAATGGAAGAGGAAACAGATGTTTCATGCAAAGCAAAGCAGACAAAACAGAACAGCCAGTGAAAAGAAATGTAAGTAAAGGTGGCTCCATACTTTAATTGAAAGTTAGAATCATTAGATAATTACAAATTTAGCTTTCAATTTAACCACAGTTGTCCTCACAGCATGCAAACTTCAGAGAACTTATGTCAACGCCTCTGTGAGGTGAACACTGGACACTGTTTGGAGATTCAGCCCTACAGGGAACACTCAGCTTTCACCCCAGCTGCCCAAGGGTTACTTACAGCACAAATTCCATTAACACACCATTCTCCAACACCTACTAGACAAAGTTCTTCCTGTAATATTACAAATTAGGTATTTAACATGTTGTCAAAAAAATCAGAGGAGAAAATTTAAAGAAAAAAACTAATGACCCTTTTAAAGTAGGAATGCTAAATTAGGTTTTCCTTCTCATTTCTATTGCACTTTGGCTTCTGGCACAGTCACTTTATCAGCACTCACTCTACAGAGCTTTGTTTATTTTCAAGTATAGATTCTAAAATTTTCTTGTGTTTTTATCACTAAACAACCATCTTAAGCTGCAAAAATAAATGCCAAATTTTGATTGCATGCCTTAAACCTACTTACAAAAACTGTCATTGAAGCCAATGAACTGATTGAATGAGCAGATAAGAACTTACGCCCTTCTTTGGAAGGAAAAAAAAAATCATTTCAATATCTTGGAAGCAGAAATTGAGGTAATCTGTTCTGAAGCATAATCAGAAAGAATAACACACTGTCCTTTAGGAACCCAAAATATTTAGGCTCCTAAGTTTTTGATAATAAAAAAAAAAATTAAATTACCATAGTCACATGAAAAATAAAAGTATAGAAATTAACCTTTAGAATGATCTAGAACACTTTGAAAGTGTCTTAACACCATCAGCTAAATTCAGCATAGCTTTAACCACAATTAGTGAATAAATTTTCTAATGTTTTCCAGCTGCTCAGGGAGCTTTTCATTCACAATTATATCTACTGTAAAAACTGAAAAACCTCCCAGAACACCTTCTTCAGAGACACACTAGAGGTAAATTAACTAACAAAATGTCTGTATTCCTTTGTGTCACCTTTCACACTAAATCACAGCTATCACAATGTTCAGTGGATTGCAGAGGAAACAATCCCTCGTCTATATCCTCTACACTTTTCCAGCTCCTCACACTTTCAACCCAAGAGACAATCACCACATATGGCAAATTGTCACACTATGATGGAATGAATAGTGGGTTTATATATTGTTTAAAATATTGGTAAATAATATCAACTAATACAATATTCTGCAATTTATGGGATGGAATATAATTGTGGGGTTTTTTTAATACTACTGAGTTTCAAGTAATTTCAATGAATTTCATTCTTACTTAGGTCACAACCACTTTCAGCACAACAAATTTTTCTCTAGATAAGGTCACAGCATAAAGATGGAGTCAGCCTTTAATACAAAGAAAACTGAAGAGAGATGATTCAGTTAATATAAAGGAAGAAACAAGTGTTGCAAAGCAGGAAAAAAAAAAGTCAAGTTAAACCCAGCACTTGTTATATGCACCACTAAAACCCACACACCATCAATGGCAAACCTTATAAGGTACTGCTGGCCATTTCCTCAGAAGAAGCAACCACAGAAGAAATCAGCAACAGTACATTACAAGTTGCCATTGCTGCAGGAACCTGCATGCACAAAACTGATGGGAAACTGTTCTCCCTGGCTGACCAAATCGCAGTGTAGGGTAGGAGTGGAGGGGGAAGGGACGCTGAGTGCTCGTCAGGTGGAACGGCAGGAAAAAAGAAACAGGAAGGTCATGCTTATCCCCAGGGGAAAAAAAATGCAAAATTAAACATGGACTGACACAGATGAAACTTTACAACTGTTGCTACTATTGCATGTGGATCTGTAGCTACCACGGAGGAAAGTAACAGGTAGTTTTAATGAAGGGAGTATTATTCTCTTCCACTTCCCAAGCATTTCATGCGTAAGTCACCCAAAAAGCAGAAATGTGATCCTTAAAACATTTCTATGGTTACATGCTGATCTTCCAAATTGGTTATGTAAATGAAAAATAATTCAATAACAGATTAAAAAGAGAAGGCTCCAATTAACTACTTGGATTCATTATGATGGTAGGTTGTGTACATTAAAATTTGCCATTAATCCCCACACTGATAACTAACATGATAAAAATAGTAATATAGTACCAGATGCCATGGAAAAAAGCATTAAAAGTTATCTGAAACTTAACAAGGCTCTTGTAAGTTTTAATAGAAGCTGCTTCGCTTTCTCATCCATTTTATTAATAATTTAGAAAACTGTAAAACCTGAGATCACTTGAAATGTTCTCTTCTGTAGGTAATTTAATATCTTTATCAAGCTCCAAACCACTGCCAGCTAATGTTATTCAGATGACCTACACAAGTGACAATTACTAACAGATTACTAAACATTCTAAGACAGGTTTCTCATTAATTATATTTAAAGAGAAACTCCATCTCAAATACATTTTACTAAAGCACCACCTTCATTCACCAAATTCAAAGCAGCACAATAGTTCCTCACACTTTTACCAGCTGCTCTAGACAGGCAGCTTTAATCTTTCAGTGGTGAACATCTTCTCATGGATCACTGATGTGCAGACAAAAAGCTTTCAAAGGAAGTTCAAGCAGTCTTACAGAGCAGCAGCTCAGACAGCAAAGAGAACAAGCACATCTACTCATAAAAATGATGCAAAAAAAGATGAATGTATGAAAAACACATTTGAGGGAATGGGGAAGAGTAGAAATTGCAAATTGAAGCAATTTCACTAACTCCACAAATCTTACAACTACAGAAACTAGCCATGGTGTGCCACCAGTCCAGTCTGAAGCACAGCAGACAGACATATATCTATCCAGTATAAACATGATGATTTTATCGTAAATAAAACAATTCACCTTCTCTCTCCTCCTCAATCTGAGCCATTCTCAAGGCCATAGCAGATTTCTCTTCTCTGATTTGATCACGGGATTCCTCTGACTCTGGTACATTTTCCTGCCATTCCAAGAGCTGACTCTGCAGTTCATCCACACTACCTGATTCACTGGCCTAACAAGAGAAGTGGCAAGTGAAAATAGATCAGCTAAACCCTACTGCAAATGTAAATAACATTTTAAGTTAGCAAATCATTCACAGAGCAAACAACCCATTATAATCCATCATTTTGCATAAATAAAAACCTATGAAATGATAATGGCTATCATAGATTAGGTAAAAAGCAAGCCTCACCACTTTGTAAAGTAGCAAAAATGCCACTGCCCGTTGCACTTTTAATCTGAAATATTTTTAAACAAAAAATAACATTCATCAAAATATTTTTGATGCCCATTCTCATCTTAGCAACGTCTCAAAGTAAAACAATCAGTTAATGTATTTTAACTGATGCAAAGCCTGTCAGCTGGTTATCCAGCTCCACAGCTACTGACACTGACAATTCCATATATCACTAAGTTAATTTTCAGCTCCAAAAATTCAGCTAACACACTTTTTGAAGTCCAATTAGCACTGCCTGAATTAATCAGTAACTCCTACAAATCCATTTTAATGTTAACCTGTGAAGCTGCCCTCTTGGTAACTTGGTCAAGATCAGCTTGCAACTTCCTTTGTTGCTCTTCATAGACTTCCAGCTTAGTCAACAATTCTTCTACAAAAACATAACAAAGTTGGTTCATTAGGACACAAAACTAACAGGAAGATCAATAGAAATTTAAAACAAAGATTCAAAATGAAAGTTCAGATGATAATTCATTTCAGTTAGAAGAATTCTGCTAGTCAGTGTGATCCACCCACCCACAAAACTGATTTCTTGATTATTAAATACTGCTAAGTACTTTAAATCTGACCTGCTAACAATCTAGACTGAGGAACTCAAAAGTTCCACCACCTTCCATCTACAGAAAGGATGTCAGAGAAAAAAAAAAACACAAAGTGAAATGCAAACATCTTTCACAGAACTCTACTTTAAAACATCTGAGGTTTTAAGCAAAAATTCTCTCTCAAATCCTTACAAAAGGAAAGACAATATTTAATTTCCTTGCAACTCATTGTTCTCAAAGGTTTATTGGAAAATTCTGATACATTTTCCAAGTCTGCTTGGTCTCATTTCTCCTCCTAATAAGTTCCACTTCCTTGAAAAGTCTACCTCTATTCTGCCTAGAACCAAAATGCCACAAAAATTATGCACAGGTAGATTTAGGGAAGGAAAAGTTGAGCTGTAACTCTGACTCAAACACCATGAGCTATTGTCCAAAGATGCATGAAATTACTTCAGAATCTGTTTTTTAAAATAAACAGATTCTGAAAACAAAAATGAGAAAGTTCATTTATATTTGTCTCTTTACTTTGAATCTTCTACCAAAAGAAAAAGTACTTTTTTTACCATTTTGAGTTCTGATTTCATGTAATGATTGCAGTTTTGACTGTAGCTCTTCATTTTCAATTTCTAATTCTGAGACACGATTGTTTAAAGCAGATACATCATTGTTCTTGGATGAAAACTACAAGACAAGAGAGTTAGGAGCTTTTCAAATGCACCAAAACTACAGCAAAGTCAACGCAACTTTTTTTTCTGATTTTTTTAGTAAAATTTAGAATAGTTGTTTTTCTAGTACTTGGAAGTGCAATAAACTAGCCAATCACTAACAAATTTGTCACCTTTTCTGTTGAAATGTCACCCTGTGCCAACATTTAATGTCCATTCCATTTTTATACATTAGTGCATATATAAAGATATTTTGAGCAAATGTTAATATTCTATTTACCCCACACTTTACTTTGGCAAATATCCAAGCACAGTAGTTTAAAACAGGCATAAAATATTAAACTTCTTACACATACATTTTTTAGCTCATCCTCCAGTTGTTTGATTCTTGATTTAGACCAAGCCTTCATTTTCAGAAACTTTGCCTCAGATTTGCTGGCCTCTTCTGTTTTCAGCCTCACTTGTACTAAGAAACATGATACAAAATAGTATTTAAAACCACAAAAAGATCATTAAGACCTATGCTTAAATCTTTTAGCAACTGGGTGTTACACACTTACACAAAACAACTGCACTTAGAAAAAAAGAAAGATGTAAAACAAGAAACATAGCAAGATATTTATGGTTCATGTGATTATCTTGGTGTTCTTATAAGCCTTGTTATTATAGTATTTGATCATAGCTTCTTTTTAATTAGTGTGACAGTAACTCTTCCACTCAATTTACTGTAGTTCTGCTTGCAACAGCTATCTAATTGGCATACAATACATAAGAGTCTGGGGCAAAGGAACTCTTTGCATGTAACAACTGCTTAAACAGGGTACCTTCCAAATTTTCCATCTTTTCTTTGGTTACAGACTCCAGATCTCCAACTTCTTTAGAGTTAGTCTGTCCACTACCACTCAACTCTGCCACTTGTTTCTTAAGCTGAGACAGGGCCTGATCTTTCTCTTGCAGCTCAGTTTCGTGTTTCTCTTGAATTTCATGAAGTTCAGCATTGTGTTTCTCCTTAACTTTTGTCAGCTCGAGCTCATGTTTCTCCATCATGTCTCTTAACTGGGCTCTCATTACGTGTTTCTCAGCATCCAGTTTAGACTGGAGGTTTTCTTTTTCAGACAGAAGACGTTTTAGGTTTTCATTAATCTCCTGAAAAACGAACAAAAAAAAGAACAAAACCCCCATACTTTTATATTTTAATGCAAAAGACTTCAAGTATCATTGTCAAATATTTTGTCTGTACTCCTGCATACATTTTAATCCAAAATCAGAAATCTTTTGGCAGCAAAGTCTTCCCTACATGGTAAGTTCCCAAAATTCAAGACAAACTATAGATGAGAGCTGACAGTTTGACATTTTACAGACTTTACCTCTAATTTAACTTCCTAACTAGAATTAATACTTGTTTGTAAAGCTATGGTTGTAGTATTACCACATGTCAAAGCTTCTCCGAGAACTGCCAAAATATTTTATTCAAAACTATCTTTTGTGTGCAGCCAAACAGCTTTTTGAACTCGTAATGGACCTCATGAGTTTAGGTGTCCAACCATCCTTTCTTACTTTCAGTTGCTGGTCCTTGTCATCCAGTTCTTTTTGCAAGACATCTATCACCTGTGTCCTTCCCAGCATGACTTCTTCTTTTTCATGGAGCTTCTGTTTCAAAGCCTTTAGTAGCTGGCAAACAAAAACAAACAAAAAAAACCCCAAGCAATTAATAAGGGAGTTAAAACTTTCAGAAGAGAAAGAAAAAGACTTCTCTTTATTTTCCCAACGAGCCATCTGCTGTGGAGGTTAGTTAGGGTTAGTTATTAGGTTAGTAATTACATGATTCCAAATTCCCATGTCTAACTAAGTCAAAGCAAGCTATCGAGTTTCCAAAGCAACATACCTGTTCTAAGTCAGCACTTGCATCAGATTTAGCAGCTAATTTAAAGAGCTCCTGTTCATGCTTTTCTCTCTGTGCTCCCAGCTCCTTTTCCTTTTCCTGGATAATATTTTGAAACACACGTACCTAAAACCACATAGAAAGTGAATATGGAACCAGTCCACAGAGGTAAAGTAAAAAGTACCTTGAATTAGAATACATCATCTTGCTGTAGACCCCTTAAGTCTTAGTTTTGCTTCCACTTCATAGTAAATCTACTAACCAGCCTCTGAGTACTGATGTCAGGGGTGCATTGGATAAACCTCCAACCTACAGAAAATTTAAAGTTTGTAATTGTGACAAACGAGAAGCAAAGCATGTTCATTTTTTTGTTTGAATCTTCACCTTTCTGTTTTGGATGCCATTGTTCTGAGACTTCTCATTTCTAAAAGATTACACTGACCATGTTCACTTCTAGCAAGTTTCTATCAATGAAGCTCAAAGGGCAGCTTTGAAACCCAGCTGCCTCCTCCTCAAAAATCTGTATGCAACGTCCAAAGTGTCTTGGTTAGCCACCTTAAAATTTTTGTAAGAACTGGATATAACTTTTGGAATCTTGCTAGTAATATTTTGAATAAACTCACATGAAGTGCTATCCAGATTTATATCTCAGTGAGGCTACTGTGTCACTAGAATAGCTTTTACAGTTTCACCACTTCTCTTTTTCTTTCTTTCCTGTATCTAAACGAATTCCATGTGCTGCTGAACAGGTGTGGTCATGCTCAGAATCAGAAGTACCATTTTTGTTACAGATAAACTCGGGCATTGAATGACGTGGTAAATACAGAGATGAATAGTTTCCTGTGTGGTAGGACTCAAATGCTGAGAGATCAGGAACACCACACTGAATTCTGAGATTTAGCTTCCAGGGCAGTTAAGAGAGTCTACTAACACCCAGGAATGGGTACCATGCTCCTTCGTTCCACAGTGGGTTGGGGTTTTTTTTAAAGTATTATTTAACAAGTTGGATTTTGTCTTGGCCTGTTGATCAGCTGCTAATTCTAGAAAAAATTCCCATTAAGTATACCAAACTTCTTCAGACTCCTCAGACAGGAGGAAAACACAATTTTCGTCCATGTGGTCTGTCAAAGAGCCAGTTGTGCCAAGAATGGCTGCAGTAATCCAAAACCACTACCAGCAGTGCACCAAGCTGCATTTTTGTACCTTGAGACTTAGTGCTACAAGAGGTTTGGAGGTTCTTCAACTGGAGTTCTGCACAACTCCTTTCACTCTGTCACACACTAGTTCCTCCACGCTCAAACACCAGCCACGTCCTTAAACTCCTTCCTGGCACAAAACTTTCAACTTCAATTATCACCAGCACAAACCATCTACTGCTTCATTATTCTCATTTCACCTGAACATTGTATAGGTATTTACTCAAGAATCACCCAAAATTAAAACCAGGATTTCTCAACTACTGAGACAGAAACACCACAGCCAAGATACCACTTCTTCCACCACAGAATGTAAATGTTTTTACAAAGTGTTTACTTACATTTTCCATATATGTAGCTTCTTTTCCTTGGAAACGTTCTCTTTCTTTGTTCTGAATGTTTTTGAGACTCTCAATCTGTTCCTGGAACAAGCTACATTTTTCTTCACTGTCTCCAACTTTCTTGGTAAGGTTTTGAACTAGAATCTCCATGCTTTGTAGCGATGACTCTTTAAGAGCCAGCTGATTCTTTAGAATGCAAACCAAAAGACAATTAGAAGAATGAGCCCAGAAAAAAAGATAGAGCAATCCTCATGAACCCACTTCCTTGCTCTTCCCCCAGTTAAAGACACATTAAACTCAAAACTCAGGTTTGGTTTTAATTAGAATTAAGTATGTGAGCAGATTCTGAAGTTGATACTAATATGTACAAACGGTACTGACAGAAGTCATTAAACATAGACCTACTAACAAATGAAAATAATCAGTAAAGAATTTTTATTCACATGAATAACTGCAGAGGATTTGTGCTTCAGAGAAGGATCCATTGTATAAGGCATCAGAATTCGTTGATTCCTTGAAACCTCTATGGAGATTTTATATTTGAGCTGCTAATATACCTTCAGTTCTTCATTGGCCAAGAGTGCTTCCCCGGCAGCACCGCTGGACCCACACGCCATCTGTAAATCAATGATGTAAGCATCTCTTTCAGCCAGCTTCTTCTCTTTCTCTGCCAGCATGGCATCCATTTCAGCCCCACGACAGTGCTGGGCCTCCAGTTCAACAGTCTGAAAATGAGAAGATAGCACTGTTTGTAATCTGTGCTTCCACCATCTGCAGAACCACGGTTTGTATTATTCCCTTATTGCTCGGTTTATGATACTGAAAAAATTACAGTCAAATTTATAACCTGGTTCCATTTTAAGCGTCACATCTTTAATTACAGAGCTTTGCTCTCTGAAATTCTGCAGCATTGCCATTTCTGCCCCTTTCCACAGTCAACAGTCACGTCCACAAAACACATGGCTGCACAGAACAGCTACAAACCAGAGCAAGAAATCACCCCTTGCCTACATTCATTCCTGTTGCAACTTATTTCTGCAACAAGAAAAAACTGAAGCAAAACAGCATTTTTGTTCCAATCACAAGACTTAAATAGAGCACTAACCCACAAAGTTCACACTTGTGTACCCTGTTCCATTCCCTTTCAAATAACTACAGAAGTGTCCTTGAGGAGTCACTGTTCACTGAAGACACAATGACAGAATATCTCAGAATATCTGTTTAGTAATGTAACACAGAATCAAATATATAAATATATTTAAACATAATCCCTACACCAAAAAGGTGAGAAGCCATGCACTTAGCATCTTAGAAAACATCACCTTTTTTTGCAACTCCTCATTTTTTTGTGTGATCTGAGATTCTAGTTCTTCAATTCTCCTTCTCAGGACCAGTATTTTCCCACGATTTGCCGCAGCGTTTTCCTGGTCCCCATCTTTGGCTGCCTGGAAGAACAGGGAGGTTTGCATTCCATCAACAGGTTACACCTGACTTCTCTACCTACTCAATAATACTGGTGACAAAAAGTGGACTTTACTTTGTGTTTCAGCTCTCTTCAGTATTGCTTATTTCATGCAGAACCTAGACAGAGTTGGCACAGAATTTATATCAAGCTTATACAAATACTACTATTTAAATTATTAATTATAATTGTTGCTGCAGAGTGGACTGGAATGTGCAATTAAGGGCATTTATTTCCTCTAGCAACTGTAACCCATATAATCTGGCAAGTGTAGTCCCTGTAAATCAGAGGGAAAAAGGGATCATTGGGGTGGAAAAAAGGTGAAAATTAACCTGTTTCTAAGCTTAATGTTTATAAATCAAATTTCATTAGGTATAACTACTGGGTTATAGAAATTATTTGCCATTACTAAAGAAATCAAAAGAATTTGTTAAGAGCATGTATTATTAGCAAAACAGATCAGAAGCATATATAATTACCTACTGAGTATCATGGAGGACAGCTAGAGACTTCAGCAAACTGGTCAGTTTCTAGAAATACTAAAGTGTCACTAAAGATATTTTAGAAGCTGTATGAAGTCAAAATATGCTATTTTGAAGAAATACAAATCTACTCACACAGCCTGCCACTACAAGCAGATCTGAGAGTCTTTGCTAATGACAGAACACTGTTCACTTAAATGAGACATTCCCATACTTAAGTTACATTTTGCTACCAATGACATTTTTCTATTTCCATTTTTATCTTGGACATTAAAGTAATAAATTAGGGTTTGTTTTCATTACTTCTCAAAAATTTATCCTCCTGATTCACACGTGTTAAAAGTTTGAGCTGCTAATAAGACAAAGACCAGTAAGAACTTTTTTGCTAAAACAATCTGGGAGGAATGTACAATTTTCTGCATTTCCACAGAAAATAAAAGAATTAAACAGAAATATACAGATGGATTGACAGCACCCACACCATCTATCCTGATCCTAATCTGCCACAGCTCAAAATCTGAGCATCAGTTCAAGGCCAGCACACAAAACTGTCTACAGCCTTCCAAAAATCATGTCTGGCCTTAAAGAAGTTATGTCTGCTTTAAAACATAAGGACACTTACCTTTTTTTGTTCTGCTTTTGCCTCTAAGCCTCCTGATTCTGGTAACTGTTTCTTAAGTTCTTCCAACTGTGAGGTCAACGATGCAACCTTGGCTTTGTTTTGCAGCTTCACCTTGGAGAGTTTGGCATCAGCAGATTCCTTCTCCTCCTACAAACATCACGAAGAACTAAATTAGCTACATGAACAACTGCTTCCTTCACATGAAGGACTAAATTAGCTACATGAACAACTGCATCCTTGGGTTACAAAAAAACAAAGACAGAAATCTGAAGTGATTACCAAAAAAATTTTCCCCCTGAAGAGACATTATAATGTCACATGCAACAGGTCTGCATATATGAAACAACCTTTCATTATTTAAACTCCCTACACATTGCTGTTATTATTGTATAGAATCCAGAGTATTACTATGTTAGAAATTTTCCTTTTTTTTTGGATAGCAATACAAATTCAGGGCTCGGGGGTTTTTTTATGAATTAACTTTTTATTCTTTTTTTATGCAAAAAGAAAGATACTTTCACACTACGAAAGCATCTTTCATTTTGTTTAAAGAGATGACTTAATTTACAATAAGTTTTAGAAAATTCAGTATTTTAGCACTTGGCTGTTAGTGTCCACAAAAGACATATTTTTATAAGTGTTAAAGTCTCTTGCAGGAACAGACCCACCTTATGACAGTTCAAAAAAACACAGAGTAAAGAATAACAAACTCTCAAAAGTCTTCAGGGAATTACATAAAATACTTTCTAGTTCCTTCCTTCCTAACGGCAGTCAAAAGCAGAGGATAATATATCATAGCATTAATAATAAGTTATAATTTTGGAACAGTGGCAAAACCAGTAACATCCAGGAACTGTAACAGCTGATTGTGGCCAACGCTTCCTGTGTTCCCAGAGCTGCTGTAACTGCCCAGAAGCCTTTATCTACAAAACCAGCTCCTGATAAACAGGACTGAGGTGGGTTTTAAGCAGGTCTTTTTGACAAGAGTACACGCACGGTACCTTTAACTGGAGATCTTTATTTCGAAGCTCAGCATCCTTCTCCCTGACAAGCTCCTTTAGCTGTGCAACCAGCTGTTCAGTCCTTGCCAGCTGTTCAGTCAAATCTGTCACCGACGTGCTCCCTGCATCTTGGGAGCCTGCAGCCTGCAGACATGAAGAACAAGCACACTCACTGAAGAGGTGTCATCTGCACCATTTTCTGTCTGGGTTTCTTTAAAACATTCAGCAAATGTTATCAGGCCGCAACACCAAAACTTAAAGGCACTACATGTACCTACACCAGGCTGTTTTTAGCAGGTTTGATAGAAAACGTGAAATTATACATCTTAGAAACTGGTCTAGGAATATTAGTTTGAAATACAGCGAAACCATCAAAGCATCCTAGGTATCTAAAACTGAATTTCCTCATTTACTGCATTCACACAATCAGTAAGGTTACTGAGTCCAGTGGCAGTAAAATATTGATAGTGAACATACTACACAGAAAAAACACACTTGGAATAAAGCTTATATAATTCCTGCAGCTGTTTTCTCCAAGCAAGATAAGCACAGTGGAGGGGAACAGAGCCACTGTGTCACGCACAGGAGATTAAACACCAAGCAGACAGGAAGCAAGAACCCAACCTGACTGCTAAGTCCTAAAACTGAGTCATGGTAAAACAAGTTCAGCGACTTATTTACTGAAGAGCAAATACATATCATTAGAGTATCTTCAGTTAAAGATTTTCTACATCAGAAATTCTTAAGAGAATCCCATTTTAATAATAATTCAATACTTACTACTGTTTTGGAAGGAGAATCGTCTCCACTACCCCATTTCCACATAGTTTCACGATGGCTATAAAAACAAATCAGATAATACCACAGTGAGTATCAGTGACTCTAAGATAATTGTAATTAATTAACTTGTACTCTACATGTTTCACTGTAAAATGTTTCAAACTAATTTGTCCAGTTCTGAGAGCACCTCTGATCTCCATCACACTACCATCTGCTGAGAAACATTTAAACTGTGTATAAAATATGCATAACATTCCTTTCTGCAAGTCAGTAAAATGACAATTCTATCAAAAATAATCCAAAGAATCCTGTAAAAAGTAAATTTCATAAAATATTTTTCAGCATAGTTGCTTCTCCCACTTATAAACAGAAGATACAAACCACATATAGCTCACTAATACTTAACCTGACCTTAAACACTGCCTGCCACTGCAATATAACAGGGATTATATCAACACATATTTCCACAAAATCACACATAATGACATTAAAGAACATAAAACTGCTTTAATTGCTGTGTGGCTGCTGTGCATCTGAAAAATACCATGAGTGCTGCAACCCTGGGGGTCACTGATCTGCATCTGAAAGCCCAAGGACAGCAAGTGTTCCTTGCTTCTTTTGCTCACCATCATGTCCCAAAAATTTCTAAATGGCACCAAAGTCCCACACACAATTACAGATTCTGATTATAAAAAGCAGTTGCCCCCTAATAAACACAAGTGTGGGCCATAACAAGGTTTTAAAAAGCAAAATCCTAAAGACCAGGTAGGTACAAGGCTGCTCAAAGGTTAAGACCTTTACTGAATACAGTGACAAACTGGGTTGAGAACAAAAAAACAAATTGAGCAAAGTCAAGAAAACAGCAGTAAATTCCAAATTGTGTCTGGAGATAAAATCTTAAGAGCAGACTAACATATCTTGCTCAGCCTCAGGGTAATCTTCCACATAGTAGCATGAAGTGAGAAGAGAAGCTGTAGCATGCTCAGTGATTTTTACTCTCAACTAACAACATTCAGGGGAAAATAATCTCTCCTTTCTAATCCTCATTACAGACTTTTGCAACACGCATACACAGACCAGCCCTGACTTTGGAAGCAGTTTACAATAAACATGAGCACGAAGCTTATCTTAAGAAGCATGTGGAATGACAGCAGAGGCTGCTTTAATGCTGTTCATCATCTCAAAGCCAAAACCAGGAATCACAGATTGAGATCTGTGGCTTACCTTATCTACAAGGCCAAACTGGATCCTGCTAAGAATCTCTTCTAAAATTAAAATCAAACGAGCCATGGGCTTTGGGGATGGGAATTACACAACTTGTAGGTAAAAACCTCCTCTTGTCACTACTCCAGAGCCACAACACAAATCCGTTCTCAGTGAAAAGCTCATTTCCAGACACATAAAAGGGTTACCCAGGTACAAAGAGGAAAAAATGACTCACTAGATGTAACATGGTGGTGCGTTTGTATTTAATTTATGAATATTTTAGATCATTTCCAGCTCTGACAGATGCAGTAACTTTTGCTCACTTCGTGTGCCAGCATTCCTACCCAAATACCTTAACTGTTACTTTCTGATGTATTTTTATTTACATCAGAGACACCTAATATTGATGTGTTTTCCAAATCAAGCTGGGAAACAAAACAACAGATGTTCCTCACCCTTCAGGTAATCAACCAATAATGGGGTTGGCTTTTCTTCTGGGCTCCAGACAACATGTTCACCCACTGAAGCTGGGGAAGCTGCCCCCTGAAATCAACTCAATCCCTTCTCCTTGCCCTGCACCTCAACAGAATGAAGTTTTCTATCATTCTGTTGTCCCAACACTTGCTGCAGCCAAATCCAGCTAAAAAAAATAACGGCGTGTTGTTCATCTGGGTAGTTTCCAGCCCAGTTGTTCCCCTTGAGTCACACATCACAGGGCCTAGCTCAAGGGGCACCCAGGAGCACAGAACAGCAGACAGGACAGATTTCAGCAGCAGCTCACACTGAAGAGGTCACAGAAATCCCTCAGCCTGAAGGTGAGCAATCTACATGGTGAAATATTGAACTGCATTGCTGCAAATACCTCTCTGGATGGCTACCCGGGCACAGAAACAGTCCACTGACTCCCACAAAACCCCTCACGTTTGTCTGACTTTCCTTGCATCTATTCCAAAATCATTCTGCTACAAAAAAAATAGCTCTAAAGAGCCCTCATTTGAGTTCTCACTATGACGCTATTCCCTCTTCTCTTGCAGAAATACAGATGATGGAAGAAAACACTGAGGCAGCATTCCAATCTTTTACTACCAAGGAAGGAGATGTTACTCTCATTTCCCCTCTCTTCCACAGGACTAGAGCAGACAAGCCAACAACAGCATAAGTGTGTAAACACTCAGGTGTTTTATTATTTTTTAATCCATTTCCTAGAAGAATTCTGTGCTTTCAACATGCACACTGAAAGAAAGGCACTTTAATATAAATACTTTCTTCTTGCATTTGCACATTTTTGCTTCTACCCTTGTTTGATAGCTCGCCAAGAAGTTCTTCTGCTGAATAACCTAAACGTGTTTTCAAACAGTCCGTGCCATTTATGACTTAAAAGCTCTTGGACAAAAAAACTGCATAAACACATGACATATACAGCAAAGAAGCAGAAGCACCAAAGCCATGTTAACCCAACCACAAGCACTCGGTGAAGTTAATATAGTAACACATTGACATAGCTGTTAGCTGTGTCTATTACAAACCCTATTCCTTAATAACACCGACCGCATTTTCCTCATAAAAATACCATACAGGGGAAGTAATATTTTGTAACAGAGCACTGGAGACGTGAAAGGGAAGTGCAGAGCCCTCAGCGAA